CCTGCTTAGTGGCCGACCTGTCCTGGGGCCTGCAGTCCAGCCCTCCAACGGTCTGAAGGACAGTGAACTGGCCCCGTTTAAAAAGTTTGAGGACCCCTGACCCTCTGGCTTGGATTTCATAATGGCTGCCATCTGTTGGACCACACAGGTATAAGTGGCAAAATCAAGAACCAAACCCAGGCCCCTGGGATCCAAACCCTTAGCCATGATTCCACTACTTCTAGCATTGAGACCTACTGGTCCTGGGATCCCATTCCTGTCCCCAGGGTCCCTGGCTCGCCACAGTGGTATCTGTAGCAAAGTACTTACATGATTGCTGGCAGATGACAGTTGAGGGCCTTTCTGTATCCTGCCACCAGTTTCCTTGGCAACACTTTCTCATGATACTTCATGCAGCAGGTGGGTGGATGGTTCACCGACTCAGGAATTTCTGAAGGAATCACAGTGCAGGCTGAGCCAGGGAGGCAGAGAAGGGAGACCATAGCTGCCTACCACCTCCTCCCACCAATTGCATTTCACTCCTCTCATAGCAAAACCATCTGTCAGCAGGGACTGATGGCGGCTTGATGTGCAGTAAAGAAAGTGAAAAAGATGAACTTGTACCCTCAATGAATCCCCAACAATAAAAAAAAATTAAAAAAAAAAGATGAACTCCTCTGGGGATATACAGGTAGAATCTTCAGCCTCTAACTAAGCGCCCAAGGACAAATGACTTGGTTATTCACACTGGCTGATGACCTAGAAGGGAGCTGCCTCACTGTTTTGTTTGCTCATGAGTTGATCTGCCAAACATGTTTGGAGCTTGAGTTGCCTGCCAGCTCTGTGGGGTAAGAACATGAGGAAGACACAGCCACTTAGCCTTGAGTAGCTTACGGACCAGTCAGGGTAAAAAGGGACAGGGAAAGATTATTAAATGCTACACTAGGATGTTGTGCAGGATAGAATCGTCTGTGGTGGGAGGGTCTGTGGATGAGCACACCTGACCCAGCCTTGGTGGTTGAGGAACAGGTCTCAAAGCAAGTGTTGCCGAGTTGATTCTTTTTTTTTTGAGACAGAGTCTCACTCTGTCCCCCTGGATAGAGTACTGTGGCATCATAGCTCACAGCAACCTTAGACTTTTGGGCTCAAGGGATCCTCTGGCCTCAGTTTTTCATTTTTAGTGGAGATAGTGCCTCACTCTTGCTCAGGCTGGTCTCAAACCTGTGAGCTCAGGCTCCACCAGCCTCCGTCTCCCAGAGTGCTAGGATTACAGGCATGAGCCACCGCGCTGGGCCATGTGAGTTGATTCTTAAAGAGCAAGCAGGATTTAGACAGACAAGGGTGTGGTAGGATCTGGAAGAAAGAAATGTAGGAAGGCCCGAAGATGGGGAAGCTCAGTGTGTTTGGGGATCCCTGAGCATTTGGGGGTGGCTGGAATGCCAGGTGAGAAGGGAGGCCTGGAGAGAGATGCTACTGGGACTGGGACAGAGAGGGGAAGGCCTGGTCACATACCGATTGAACTCTAGGGGAATTTAGATTATCCTAGAGGCCCGGGAGAGGTTGAGATTAGAGAGAGAAAAAGGGTGGAGTCATGAGTGAGACATTAGGGCAGGAGGAAAAATGTATGATTTAGGCTTCAGGGTCAGACAGCTTGAGTCAGAATCCTGACCTGATTTTGCTTTGAATTATGGGCAAATTTCTTTACCGCCATAGCTTTCATTTTCCTCATCCATTAAATCGAGGTAAAATGATGGTTATTTCCTAGGCTCATGGTGAGAATTAGTTGAGAAAATGCTTGTAAAGCCCTTAACGCAGAGCCTGGCACACAGAAAGATTCAATTAGTGCTTACTCTATTATAATTAAAAGCAAATGGTAATAATGATAATTCTTCTTGCCTTGGAAATGGCCTTTCCCCGTCTCCCCTGCCTTCTCTTTGATACTTGCAGGTTGGCTGGACTTGACTGTTTATGTCACTGGGTTTCCCTTGAGCTCCTCTGACTACCCACCAGTTGGGGATACTACACAGGAGGTCAGACCAGAGACCTCCCTGAGTCCTCAAACCTGCAGGGTGCAAATCTCTTTGCAGCCTGATCCCTTGCCTCCAGCTGGTGTCAAAGCTTGGGACATCTCCAGAGCACCGTCTGGCTGACCCACACTTTGTGTGGGCTATTTTCTCTTCCTTTACATCTGAACCCCCTGCACTGGCCTGACTGCCCTTCTGGAACAACACTGTTGCCTCTTCCCATTCATCACACACACACAGTTCCTCCTTAAGTGACCCTGTACACAGTTCCATCTCTAAGTGACATTCATGTCCCTGGTTCTTAAAGCAAAGTTTACAGAGACCAGAGCTAACCTAACAGTGTGGCAGCAGATTACCAGGTGCACTTGACCCTTGCTCCCTCCTGTGTATACAGGCAGTCAGGGTAGCATGCCCAGGGTAGACTTAAGGAAGAAAATTAGGGCTGGGCAGCCTTAGGCGGGTATATGGATGCCTGAGTGTTCTTTTCCCTCCCCCATCACCAGGTGCTATTAAATGATAGTAGGGGCAGAGGGTAGAGAGTGGGCAAAACAAATTCTCTGCCCCAAAGCTCCCAATTCTACCTCTTATCATAGCTCCCAACCTTTTAACCCCTTCCCTCTTTCCTGAAGACTTTATTTAGTCTTGGGCTGGAGATGGAGGATGGGCACTCTTGGCCATCCCCTGGGACTCACTCTGGGTGTCTGACAGTCCCAGAACGCCACTGAGAGGAAGGGGTGTCTAGGTCCATTCTCCCCATCCCTGGGCTTAGTCCCCATGGTGGCTTCAACCTCTCTCTCCCAACTCGTTCTCCTAGAGCTCCTGCTCCTTTTCTCATCTGGGCGTCTCACCCTCCCCTTCATTACAGACACTCTTTATTGTATTTTCTATTACTTTCTGGGCTCTTCCTTCCAAATGATCAATCCTTGCTCTCCTAATGCTGAAAGGCTCTGGACCAAGCCCAGCTCTACTTACAAAGGGGAGAATTTGAGAACAGAAGCTAAGCATGAAAGTGGGGGAGCCCTCCAGGGCTGACAAGGCCAGAGGCCTCACAGCACTCTTGGTGTTACATCCCTGCCACCTGCCCCTTTCTCATCCCTGATCTGCAGGGACAAGTGGACTTACTCGGCTGGCTGCAAAAAGCAGAAGTAGCGATGAGGATGAAGATGAGGAGAAAGAAGGCAGTCACAGAGGCCTTCATCCTCTCCGTGGGGTGAGACAGCTTCAGGGGACAGCTGAACAGAGATGTCCTTCTTGCAGCTGGTCATCTACTCTCCAGCTGCTCTGTTCTCTGGACTCTGACCGTGCTGGGGGAGAAACAACAGGCCTTGGTGTTTGCTAAAAGGGAGGGTTGGGGAGCTGTGGCCTGGTGCAGAGTTGAACTCAGTAATATTGAATGCAAGTGAAGGAACAGCTGGAGAAGGAATGTGATGAATGTGCCTGGGTCAGCCAGCTTGCAGGTGAAGTAGCAGTTAGTACTTCACTGAGGCTTAAAGAGGTTAAATAAATTGTCCAAGTTCACATGGCTGGAAGGTGGAGAGACAGCGCTGAAAACCGGATGTTGGATTTTATCGTGTTAAAATCTCTATAATGGGGAAAGGGGAGCGAGGGATGAACTTCCCGTTTTCCCCAGGTGGTCTGTCTTGGGGAGGGTGAGCATAAAGCAGGATTATAGCACAAATGAGGCAAGAGTAGGGTTTAGTGGCCACTGAGAAAGGTGACTCCACCCCCAGTCCAGGGACACATGACTGAACTCACGTTGTTTCATGTCACAGATTATGCTACTAATACTCTGACAAAGCAGCATACTTGATCCTTAAGTCCCCATTTGTTACTGAAATGTCTGGATTACTTTTCCATGTTTTGTTTATCTCCCATGGCCTTGAACTTCAGACTGATTTTTATGTGTGGCTGGCTGGTCCTTGCTGGGTATCGGTAGGCTGGGTTTATCCAACCCTGCCACTATGGCCAACTGTGACCAGCAGAGGGCGCTCCGACCCCGTGCGCCTGACAACCTGGAGCCGTTTCCAGGTTGAAGACACTATCAGAGAAGAGATAGGGGATCTGACATGTTTCCGGAGTTGAGAGGAGTGGGAGGCAGGGCCGAAAGGGGAAGTGCACATCCTTACCAGGTGGCATGAATGCTCATAGATAGGTAGACCATATAATGCTATTAGTCCCTGTGGGTTCAAGGCAGTCAGACACCTTGGCCCACAAGCCCTTGTCTGTGGAAGGTGGGAGGCCAGGGAATGGCAGCCATAGTCCCTTCCATGCTCTTACTCCAAACACACCAAGCTCCTTCTTGAGGCCTGAAGATAGGTTTGAGAGCTGATTCTTGGGTGTCTTGGAACATAGGCATCCTCTTGATTCCTGTTTCATTTCATTTATCCCTCCTTCTCTCCATTGTCCATCCACCTATCCATCCATTCATCCATCTGCCCATCCATCCATCCACTCATCTACCATCCACCCATCCATCCATCTACCTACTCATCCACCCACCCATCTGCTCATCCATTCATCCATCTATCCATTCACCCATCCATCCATCTACCTACTCATCCACCCACCCATCTGCTCATCCATCCATCTATCCACTCATCCATCCATCCATCCACCCATCCATCCACCCATCCATCCATCTACCCTCCCATCCATCCATCCACCCATCCATCCATCTACCCTCCCATCCATCCATCCATCCACCTGCCCATTTGTCCATCCATCTATCCATCTACCTGCCCATCCATCCATCCATCCATCCATCCATCCATCCATGTACCCACTCATCCATCTGCTCATTCATCCATCTATCTACCCACTCATCCACGCATCTACTCATCCACCCACCCACTCATCCATCCACTCATTCATCCATCCATTCATCCGTTCATCCATCTATCTACCCATCCATCCATCCACCCATCTATCCATCTATCAATCCATCTACTATTCGTCCATCCATCCATCCACCTATCTATCCATCCACCTGCCCATCCATCCATTCATCCATCTACCCACTCATCCACCCATCTACCCATCCACCCACCCACTCATCCATCCACTCATCCATCAATCCATCCATTCATCCATCTATCTACCCATCCATCCATCCACCCATCTATCCATCTATCAATCCATCCACCATTCATCCATCCATCCACCTATCCATCCATCCACCTATCTATCCATCCACCCACCCATCCATCCATCTACCCACTCATCCACCCATCTACCCATCCACCCACCCACTCATCCATCTGCTCATTCATTCATCCATCTGTCCACTGTCCATTCATCCATTCATCTGTCCATCTATTTACCCACCCACCCATCCACCCATCCACCCACTCATCCATGCATCCATCCATCCATCTATCCATCCACCCACCCACCCATCCATCTATCCATTACCTGAGCACCTGGTATGTGCCAGGCCTTCTGCTGGGCCTTGTGGAGGATATAAAAATGAGTACATGAGTAAAACAATTATAGTACACCCTGGTGTATGTAAGTGAAGGAGTGGGAGGGATTGGATAAAATGTGTCCCTGAATCATTCCTATCCCAGACAGCAGTGAGGAAAGGCCTTGGAAACAACATAGAAAGAAAGAGCTATGGAACTTGACTGCTATGCAGAGGCCTTTATGAAGTTTTACCTGTAAAATCAGGTGATGATTCTTAGCTTTTACACTTATTGTGAAGCTTAAAAATAAAAGAATGCACATTAGATTGCTTAGCAGAGTGCTTGGAAAGCAGAAAGCACTAAGGAAATGATGTTATTGTTCCTGCCCAGGAAGTGGCCTTCACACTGCATTTTGTCACCTTCTGCTTCTTACTACCCCCATCATGGGCCTGACCCATTTTTTGCACCAGGCTCTGGCAAAACTTCTGCAGAGTTAAGCTTGATGCCGAGGCTGACACGGTCAGGCTAGGCTCACTGTTGTCCTCAGGCCACAGGCGATAAGTTAATTCAGCAGAAATGAATGAAGGGAATGAAAAGCATGAATGTTTTTTAATTCAAGGCAGGGCAGCTTGCAGGGGGTGGCTGGGGCTGAGAGCCGGGGGCAGCAGAGGGGCCTTTTCCTCTTTAGAGCTCTGATCTGCACTTGTCCCACTGCCTCTGGGTCACTCAGTTCTCCTCCATGTCCTTGATGTAGTCCTGGACCCACTTGTCACTAGGGTTGCCGCAGATATAATGGCCCTTTTTAGTGATGAAGCTGTGGAGTGAGAGGGAGAAGGATTACAAACTGAGGGGTGGAAGAGAGAGCCTGTCCTCCCTGCCCTCCCAATTCCCCACCTGACCTAGACTGTTTCTCCTTTCTCTGATAGAGGCGTCCCAGGCCCAGGCTCCTCTCTGAGACACGCCCTTCCCTAGGACTCACAGACCCATCCAGTCTCCGTGTCCCCCTGAGGAAGTGCCCTCTTTCCTTCTCCTTCCTGACACCTCCCCATGCCAGCTTTCCCACCGCTTCTGGAGGCTCCGGCCAGAAAGCCCCCACATTGCCTCTTGGCTGCCTCTCTCTGTGTAGTCTCACTTGGGAGGTGCCCTGGGGGTCCCCACTCCACATCCTCCCCTCCCTCTTCTTCAGGCCCTGCTGGTTCCTCTCCACCCCCGTGTGGTGTGTGAGTGCCACCTACACAATTCCAGGCTTGGAGCACTGGCTGCTGGTCTCATAATAATCCGAAATGCGGTGACGTGGGAGCTCACGGGTAGCATAGGTGAAACAGCACTCGGCGGGGTGGTAAGGTCCTCCTGAGGGGACACGGGGGAGATGCTGAGGCGATACTGCTGGCTGCTTCTGCAGCCCAAGGGCGTGGGAGAGAGACAACTCGGCAGAGCTCAGACGGGAGCTCTGGAGAAGCTCCATCCTCTCTTCTCACCGTGGTGCTCCTCAGGCACCTGTCCCTCCATCATCAGCAGTCACTCTCCCTCCTCTTCTTCAACTCCTGCTGGAGACACTGGCTGATGATTTTCAACCCTGGGGCTGAAGAGCAGCAAACCCAGGTCTTCTGGGTGAGCACAGACCACCTCTGGGGGCCGACTCGCAGGGGAAGCTGGTGGCTTGGCCAATGCCACCCAAGCTGTATGCCTTATTCAGAAAGGATAGGAGGACTATTTAAATGAAAGACATCCCAACAGGGATTAGGAGACAGGGCCTTTGGGGATGCAGAGCCAGCTCCTCCTGGACCCCATCCTGCCCGTGTCCCCCCCCATTGAACACTCAGCTTGCAGAGAGGGGAGGATACCCACACTGAGCCCCAAGGACTAAGGTTGTAGAGTCGGGACACCCAAATCCTAACCCGGTCTTGCCTTTGTTCTCTTCCTACTGTGACCATTTCGCTTTTCCTCTTAGTTTCCTCCTCTGTAAACGAGGCCTTTGGACTTTGGTTTTTACACCGAGCTCCCTGGGTCTCGGGGGGCTTCACAGACTCTCTTTGAGGTGCTGGTGCATTTGAGAATGGTGCCTTGGGGATTGCACCCCATATAACTCCTTTTTCAGTTTTACATGTTGGGCTTCTGTGGGAGATTTTTGCTTGAAGAAAAGGTTTCATGGTCTAAAACGTTTTGAAAATCACCAGATGAGGTGATATTTCAGCTTTTTCCTGACTGTGACATTTTGTGGCTCTTACAGGAGGAATGTTTATAGTTACGGAGGTTAGTAGGAAAGGTCTTGCTGGCCAAGGGCCCTGTGCAGACCAGCACATGTTGTGGTCATGGAGTAGAAACACCAAGTGTCTGCCTAGTGTGTGACCAAGGTGGGCAGAAACAAGGGTGCACAAGGCCATGGCCTCAGCTGTCTGGGGGTGGCCAGATGCTTAGGTGGGAAGAGAAAGGCCTGGTCCTGTTATCCAGCACCATTCCAGGCAGCATCCTCTCTATCCAAAGGGTGGAATAAGGATCCCTGGTCCCTGAGACCTGCTCAGGGCTCTGACTCTCCCACCTTGTTCCTTGGAACTGACAAATGACTTCCGAGAGGCCAGTCCCATTGTCCAGGTTCCTATTAACTTTAGACTAATGTTATTTCCACGACTTTCTGTGTTTCCCTACAGATTCTGAAAGGGAAAAGAGGTCAACAGAAGGGAGAGAAATGGTTTTGGCTGTCAGTAAAGGCAGGTCCTCCTGAGAAAGAAGCTGAGGAAAGGGGGCCTGGGAGGGACCCTGGGAGGTGGCCTTGTGTTTTCCCCCAGCCCAGACCCAAGCAGCACTGCATTCACAGGCACAGGGGACTTGGGGAGCAGGTGGGCCCAAATCTCAGGAGGCTGATAGACAAAGTGGCTTTGAGGGGCTCTGGACACTGCTCGTCAAGCTGGGGATGATATCCCCCCAAAGGGTGGGCCACTCTTTTGCCTAACAGCAATGGGACAGGCTTCCCTCTGTGGCCTTGAGAGGAAGGGGTTCTGCTCCCGCAGAGGGTGGGGATGAAACCGGTTGGAGAAGCCCCCTAAGCTCCTGCTCAAGCCCTCCTCCCTGTCTGCCCAGCCACCTTGCTATTTCCCCACAGGGCCTGGGAAGGAGGAAGACAAGGTGCACTCACGTGAGGAGGACTTAGCTCTGGCCCCTGGGGCGGTGGCGCCGAGGAGCAGGAGCAAGAGCAAGGAGAGGGCAGCCATGGAGACCTTCATCCTGTGGGGAGCTGCTGCAGGAGGAAATCTGGCCTGCGGGGTATTCTGAGACTCCTCAGGGTTGAGGACTGATCATTGAAGCCAAATATTTTTTAAAATAAGGGAACTAAGATTTTGCATGGAAGTAGAAAAGCAGCAATGCCTCAGCAATTTCACATCCTGCAGGGTGAGGGTGATGTGAGGGAAAGAGGGAGACTCAAGGTTCAAGGGAGGACGTTGCCTCCCATCCTCAGGGGCAGTAAGTTTAACTCCTTTGAGGTAAGCCAGCCCTGCCTTAGGCACAGGCTGGGGGCACTGCCTCTGACTTAGCAAAAGATCCTCAAAAGCTGATGTGTCCTACGCCTGACTCTGGTTCCAGGCCTCATAACAAGGCCAAGCAGGGCGTGGAGATTTAGGATCTGTTCAGCTGGAGATTGAAGGCATTTGAGGCAGTGGTATGAGGTCTGCAATCCCCTAGGCTAGGTCTTATGGAAGAGGGCTGGGAAATCCTCTTTTAAACTCTTCAGCAGAACCTGCAGCCTTATCCCCACCCCTTACCATTCCCTGGGCACAGGAGGGCTCTGATGCTCAGTAGAGAATTTGCTTATGTAATGGTTGCTGCACCTCCTAGCCACTGTCCCAAATGCTTTATGAATATTGGCCCATTTAATCTTTATAGCAGCAGCTGAGGAAACTGAGGCTCAGAGGCAAGGCCTAAGCTTTGACAATTGGTAAGTGGAGGTGGGTTCAAACTCAGGCTGTGTCCTTAATCCACTGTGTAAGGTCTGTGTTCCTAACCACTCTGCTGTGAAGACACAGGGGAGCTCTCTGAAAGTGTTCTGGCTTGCTTGGGTTCTCTATACAGCCCTCAGTCTTAGCTTTTTCTGAGCCTCGGGAGTGGATCCCTTTGAGAACCCTCTCCTGGTTTCTGAATTTCACTATAGAGAAGCTTAGTGGGGACCTTAGGAAATGCCTAGTTCAGGGATGGCTACTAGGTTTTGTCAGTTAGTGGTGGAATGGAGCTCTGTGTTGAAAACCATCTGAGGCCCCGTCCAGGCACATTGGGAAGAAGTGCTGTGACTCCGACCGTGCAGCTTGCGTGACATGTGCTAGCAATTTCTATATCATCTTTTTGCCTCTATAAAAAGCCAAAAGTGTATACCACTACTTCGGATTCCAAGTCAACGCTACAGTTATTTCAGGCTTCCCCTTTCTGTATATTTCCCTCTCTCCTCTAGCAGTGAGAAACTTGGCTCCCATTAACCTCATTCTGCCTACTTATTTGCTCAGGCCTCTCTATGTAACAGATCTCTGGGCCACATTGATAGTTATTGTTTTTCTTTTTTTTTTTGTTTTTTGAGACAGAGCCTCACTTGGTTGCCCTGTGTAGCATCAGAGCTCACAGTAACCTCAAACTCTTGAGCTCAAGAGATCCTCTTGCTTCAGCCTCTGGAGTAGCTGGGACTACAGGTGCTGGCCACCATGCTGGGCTAGTTTTTCTATTTTTAGTAGAAACAGGGTCTCATTTTTCCTCAGGCTGATCTCAAACTCTGGAGCTCAAGCAATCCACTTGCTTTGGCCTCTCAGAGTGTTCAGATTACCTGAGCCACTGTGCCCAGC